TCCACTCTAAGATCTTTACGATATAATTGAACTAAATGCATTAAGAATTAATAAAAAAAATACTGTTTTCACAATCACCCCCATTATTTAAATACATGAAAATTAACATGGTACCTATATCTTATTGAAAATTCAGTAAAGGAAAGGAATCTCTATTTTACCACATCATATTAGCCAGGAAAGAAGACAGATGAAAAGGTGACTTTCACAGATTTATTGCAGCACAATCTATAGGAGCAATAGCATACAAAATACCTTAAAATAAATCACTTCCAATAAGCTTCTAGTCTAGAGGATTTGGAGACATTTCATGAAAAACATAAAGGGGATTTTTCAACCTGTAAGTTTCACAAACTCAATCCGTTTGTTTTTCAAATATTACTTCGTGCACAAGGGGGAGCTCCTGCAACTCTATATCACAATAAAAACCTGCAGACAATATAGGGAACATAAAGGAAATACAGCATGAAAGATTTCAGAAAAGAATACATATTCTTCACCCAGTAGCAACAATTACTGTATGAATTTGCACTTTATCTGCTTTTGTCTTCTGTGTTCAGCATGGACTCCTCAGTACAAAGGAGATGAAAAGCATTTCCCCCTTAAAGGATGTATGCTCTCAATGAAGAGGGAGCAAACTCAGCTATGTTTTAAACAGTCACTGAGGTGAAGCTGTACAAAAAGAAAGGTAGCATGGTTTTTGAGGTAAGGTGTTGTTTTAATGTAGTGTGTCACAGCAAAAATGTATGGGAGCAGGTAATCAAAGTCTCTACTGTAACAAACACAGGTAAGAGCACTTCATTAACACTGCTCAGTCAGCCCCCATTCTTGAAATACTCTGCTTTTGAGCATTTAATTTTTTAGCCTTCCTTTCAAGCAGAATTTTGTGTGGCATCTTAAGGCTGTAGGGGTTCTTTCAGCAAACTGCAATATCAAGATTCCGTTAGGGAAAAGAATATAAAACTTCATCTTGGATCATTAGCAATTTTTTACTATCTACTACTTGAATAAATAACTTACAAATCATAAATTTCACTTCTTTCTGTATATCATTTCTACGCTTTCAGGCATCCACAATTTCCAAAGGAGTTTAAGACATTTGCTGATAGCAAAAAATTGCATTCAGCACCACAATCCACAAGAGAGTGGAGATTCATGCTCTCAGTGGGGCTGTGCCCTCTGTCCTTATCCACATTAATTCCTTTATCTCCACAACTCATTCCTCCAGCACCTTCTTCTTTCAAACTGCCTTATATCTCCAGAGCAGATGGGCTACTTCTTGTTCCTACTTGGGTACCAGTAACGGGTCTAAAAGAACAGGGGAGACAACTCTGGCTCTCTATCAGTGTCTGACTTTGTAACAGTCAAATACTGCTCCAGCAACTAAAAGAAGTCCTGGAGAGAAACCCCACATGGGTAGACACTGAGACAGGAAAGCCCAAGCAACCCAGCAGCAAACACAAGTGTGGGAATTCTGTGCATGAAACGCCCACAGCCTGAGTGCACAAGTTTGCAGTGACACTGCACCAAGCCTCTGGTGAGCCAGTTTCAACTGACATTTTTCAATGTTTAACAATATGGTTATTTTCTAGGGGCTCACAAATGGTACTCCTTACCCCACGAACAAGCCCCAAAAGCCAAGCTTCTAGTCCAAAGGACAGGATTCCCAGTGGGTAACTGGAAAAAGCTATTTAGTATGTGCTATGTATTTTCTTCCAGCTCAATGTCAGACAGGTTTGACCCATTTCAATTTAAAAATCAGCCAGGAGCATACTCTCAGCATGGTGAATTCATGGTGAATATACAGTGAAAAAGTGGCCAAATTCTAAGAAGAGAGTCCTGTAGTGGGAAGCATCATGCAACCCTGCTGCCAGCTCTGCTGGTAATATATGGAAGCAGGACCACTAACTATTCTGTCTGCATGCTGGAACCAGGCCTCCCCTGTGTTCTAAGTACTCTTCTGTATCTTTTCCAAAAACGTATTTGAAATTATTATTGATTTTGTAATTTTGTCTTTAGGGTTGCATTCATCTCACATATGCAACTCTACCCCATGGGAATTTTCAAAAACTAGAGTGAGAGAGCCCAGTCTGTCCTAGTTAAAAAGACTGATGCTCTGTCATTTTCCCTTATGTAAGACAGCATTAAATTGACTTTGTTTCCATTCCCCAAAATATAACTAGGGACAGTAATATACTCCCTCTCTGTATTTTATGCTCAATTTAACTGCTATATTGCATTAAATGATGTGCAATAATGCAACCCCAAATGCAAATGAATTCACATTTGGTAAAAAGAATCTCTTTGTTGCTTTCTCCTAATAGAATTTTTTTTGTAGATTTTAATGAACTAGAAAAACCAAACATCCCCATATGGTGAGAAAATTCCAAAGCATGTATTAAAAGAAAAATCTTATGTTACTCATCAAATACTAATAGATGTGACAGGAGAAAAAAATTAAGCTATGAAGATGAAACTCAAATAATTAGCAATTATGGAAAAACATCTATTAGAGTACTTGTAAAAGACTCACCACAGGCTAAAAAAGAAAAACATGCATTTCATATTTCCAGAGTGGAATACATTAGGTTTCATCTGAAGCAAATTATTTACAGTTATAAACTTCCCTGGAAAATGAAAACAACACATACACACTTTGAAATAAATGCATCATGATCAGAAGCATTGAAGATGTTCTCTCTTTCTGCCTAAGAGTGCAATGTCTTTTTACCATATGAAAGATTTTGAGGAACTTTCTCTGGAAGTCAGAAGGTTCCTCGTTCAGTCCTTTTTTGAACACTACAGAGTAGCCTGCAGGCCTCTCTGAGCTGCATTTGCTGCCTGCCTCACAGGTACATTCTGGCCATCTAAAGCAGTCTAAAGATGTCCTGAAAGCATTTCTCTTCCCCTGGATGAATGCCCTTCCCTGATGCACTAGCCATTTTGGGAGTCATGCATCACACATCATGCTAAAAATAAGCAAAATATGCAACATCTAGAAATACAGCACTGTTTTCCGGTATCTTGATTTTTTGTTTTGAAAAGCTGGCAACAACTCTGGGAATTTGGCCCTGGAATTCCAGTAACTCCCTGATGGTTCGCCAGACTGCAGGGCATGAAGGGCGACAGACATTTTATGTAAGCACTGTAACAGTTGCACAGTTTAGAACTGCAGGAATGAGTTTTGCATACAGTAAACAAAATACTCACATATTTACCTCTGCTGCATTTACCTTTCACTGAACACAATTAAAGTGAACTGTGATCATATGGAGAAAACTAAGACCTAGAATTCATGGACCATTTCTATGCTGCGCAGCTTCTTCTGCCACATTTGCTATGGGACTGTCTGAGCGCCTCCAGGATGAAACAAGGTGACATGAATTTGTCACGTATTTACTCACTCAGCTTCTCTCCAGAGAAACGTGTACAGTGTGGGAGGGAGAAGGATGTCTGTTTTATACATGGCTTGAAAAGAAAGATAATATGGTTTGCAAAGGACTTTGTTCTTGTAAAAGTCACTGAGCAGTTTGAGCCTGCCCTAGCCAAGCTCTGTCTCCTACCCAAGAAATTATTTTGTACAGGAAGAGCCCTGTTGTGCTAGAAAAGCCCAGCTATTGGCAAAAGTATAAATCATTAAATTTTGCCCAATTTATAAAATACTTTGTACCTGAAAGCGTTTACCACCTCAGCTGAGCATCACTTCCCATTACTGGGGGGATATTATCTTCTAGGGGAGACAGGTGTTTTTATCTTTTTACCTTTACCTGTTACTTCTATCTGCTTCAGAAAACACACAAACATCTTTTAGTTTGAATTTTCCATCTGGTACTTTCCTTGGGAAATCCAGCAAGATCCCTGACCTGACTTAATTCCAAGTGTACCACTGAAATGCCAATAACCTAAAGAGGCACTTAGACATAATTCATAACTGTTACATAAAAGTCTTACAGAATCCAAGGTGCTAAGTATCTAAGAACAATTACTCAATTCATGGAAAAATATTTATGTTCCTACAGGATAAGGTTGTGTTCAGAACTAGTACAGCTAGTGAATAAGGCTCTAGGAAAAGGAACTGCATACTGTTACATGTATACATTAAATAAAAGCTAAATGTGACAATTAAAAAAGGTCAGTACTCTTGAGGAAGCAAGACAGACAGACAGGGAGAGGTGGAAGTAGCTATTTTTGCATTAAGGAAACACATAAAATATTCCTTGTCTTCATCTGCTGCTGTCAAGAGATGCTTTTTGTGCAACAAAAATACCTTTAACCTTTTAAAGACATCACACAAATGCATCCAATTAAACTCCCATGTCTAGAAAGAGGGCAACCTAGCATCTGTTTATTACTCCAACTTTTCTATTCCTGCCCTACAGAAATTCTAGAAGTTATCAATCTTTACAGCAATGCCTGACACTATTTCTTCCCAGTATTAATCTATATATATACTCTATCCCACTATTGAAACTGGCACAGAAATATTCATGAGTTCTTTCATGTGGGTCCTCATCTAGAGAGGCTGAAGGCAAAGAACTATTTTACAAAGGAGAGCTGGGATGTAAAGCTGCCCTCTGAACATAGGAGAAAATTCACCCTGAGCAAAGGGCCAGAACAATGCCTATGCATCAGTTCAGACTCAGGTACACCTTAGAATAGGATTTAATAATGAATTTTACGATCCACTGGTTATCCACTGGTCCTGTCATAACACTGCTTTTCTTCCTTATCCTCAGCACCCTTCCAACAAAAGCCAAAAAACCATACTGTAACACAAACTTGGGTAGCAGTACACTTTGTAATAATCCTGAACCAGCTGCTTTCTTCAGTTAAATGATACAACATCTAAGGCATTCTTATAATTTGTATACTGTTCTCAAATGCATCAACCACATGCTTGCATTTGCACTCAGTTATTTTCAATTGAATGCTGAATACTTTTACATTTTTCATAACCAAATTCTACCCCTCAAAAAAAAAATCACAAAATTGTGATTTACCTTATTACAGTTTTTAGAAACTTGGCAAAGAGCACTGTTTGACATACTGTCTTTATCTGGCATTCCTAAAAAAAGAACACAGAAAATAAATACATACTGTACATTCTTTGAGTGACAGTGAAAATATTTATTAGTAGAACAGCGAATTTGAGGGTTCAATACTTTGATAACACACACATTAATCTGCAATTTTTAAAGAGCAAAACATTTATTTAGAAAAAAGTTTCTTGTACTGAACGCAAAAAAGACAAAAAGCTAACTTGGGTCAAAATTTTTAAACACCTTGTTCAGCACAGTTCTTTTTCAAAATTTAGTATCTGAAGCATGTATACAGGAGTTATTTATGCTTTTTCATTTAACATTATCTGTGTCTCAGTACCTGGCAGTCAAATGTGACACTGAGCTTGCACTAATCAGCATAACTATGCTATTCTATACTATTATCCTGCAAAGAAAACATATTGAACATCTAACATAGGAGATAGAATTTGCAGATGCAATTGCTAGCCATCAGATATTGTCCTGCCTGGCATCCAGAGAATTCTTGGCAAATAAATATAAGTGCTTTGATTTACATAAGTGATAAATTCCAAAGGCTGCCCTTGGATTCATGTCTACAGCACTCTCCCACAGCTTGACACATTCTCATGAGGCAGAGACATACCCAAAATTATTTAGCTAGGTAATAAAGATAAGAGAGCAGCATGTTTACTGCAAGCTTAAGCACTAACCTGGATTCTCCAGCAAGTTGTGTAGCCCATCCTAACTAAGAAAAATTGAGACAGTTTGTTATATTTACTGCAGGACTCATGGGCACGTTCCATGGTTCATGTAACACAAGTAGTAAAATGCGTCATGACATCATCCAGTATGTTTTCATCAACAGGCCTGGGTCACAGTGCAGATTTTGGTGCAGCTCTGAGTACACTTGTACACAGCTGGGAAGGCAGTTGGGCAGGTTCCAAAGTGTCTTCTACTACATGCAGTATTAATGCAGTTGTAATACCAAATGGAATTAAATTTTTAAAGTTCAATACCCAAACCTGGAGAATCTCCATCTTCCCCTTTATTTCCTTTTCTCATTTGCTTGCCCACCACCTCATATCTAATCTCTCATACTTACTGTCATTGTTGGAGCCAGTTTCCATAACACCATAAGGAGGAGTGAGAAGTCCAGACATATACTGTCGATATTTCTGAAAGACAGCAACGGCACACTCAGTCAGGTACAAATGTAAAAAGCCATTCAAGGAATATGTGCTATTTATTCTTGTGTGTCCTGCCTTGTGCTTCTCACACACACGAGATATGAGACAATCAAACATGTCTTTACCCTTAACACTACAAGGTCTGCTTTCTTGACTGGAGTACACACTGCTGTTATTTCAAAGTTGTGCTAAAACAGTTCCCTCTTTCATCCTTCCCAAAGCATGACTTTAAGGTTTCTAATAAATCAGTGTTTTACTTAGCTGTGTGATTTCCCATAGATTGTTTTAAAGCTCATTTCAAGTTACACTACCTATCTGAATCCAAGCTAGAAAGCTTCTTTATTATAGGAATGGAGACAAACTAAAGATTCATAAAAATCATGTACACCAACAGTTTTGGTGTCAGATTTGGAATATACAGGATGTAGAGTGAAAACTCTAAACATTTAAACCCAAGACACTAAGTTTGGTATTCAGAAACTACAAGGCTATGAAACACACAGACCTCACACCTCATATTATGAATATCCTCACACAAAAAATTAGCAGCTGAAACTTTGTTACTGTAAAAATAACATCCCTTATACCACCATAAGCTATGTAATTGTAACTGATGTCAGCAACTGGTATTTTTCTTCAGTGAATGCTGATGACATGATCAGTAAGGTTCAAAACTCTGTCTAAGGCTTAAGAAATTCACAGAAGCAACAAAAATAACACCAAAGGAAAAAAACTGTCCTTTTATCAAATACAAATAATTCGTCGATTAAGAAACACATTTTTGTTTCAAATCACACTATGTTACTGTCATGATTAAGGATAAACAATTATAATTCCCCTTTGGAACTTCCAGAAAATATGCTTGTGCAATAGGGATTCTGATGTTCAGCATAAATAAAATTCTTCATACAGTCTTTTGGGTGTGCAGTGAGCTCAACATGAACAATCAACCAGCTGAAATCCATGCAGGTTTCAACTAAGCACACACAATAATTGAGACAGTGCAATTTTAGTGCAATAGTGCAATTTTAATTTAAAAGTTTTATTCTTTGCTCTATGGAGATGTTTGGATGTATTCATTTTTAAAATGTTGCCTGTTGAATTTTAACAATGGTTGAATTATCCTTCATACATTTATTTTTCTTGGAAATGGAAATGAAAATATCATTAATTCTAGCACTAAAGACTGAAAGTCTTGCATTCTAAATAATAACAAAAGCTACAAAGATTACATTAATCTTAATAATCCAATCCTATTTTTAGACGTGCTATTACATCCTAAAGCTTAGTAACATATTATTTAAATCTCACCCATAATCCAGCTGAATACTCATAAAAGCAAATCTATGCTATATCCCTGGTCAGTCACACAAAACAAATGCTATTTCATTTGAGGATAAAACTCTCCTATTTTCTTTCTCAAACCATTCAGTTTCCATATTCTGCATCCAGACCCATGCCTGAACTCAATGAGAGGAAGAACGTAAGAAGTAATTATTTTCTCAGTTCAACTAGTAAATCACACACATAACCAAGGGAAAAAGTAATTTTTGTTGGCGAAAAGAAAAAAAAAACCAAAACAAGAAAACAAAAATCAAAACATAACCAAAAGTGTTTCTTCTTCATCATCATTTAGCTGATAATAATTTCTTTGTTCTGTTTTTCCCAAAATAGTATTTTCCCAGAAATACATTACTAGTCCACATAAGTATAAGGAGCTTATACTGTGGGAAAAGAGTATTTTTTACTTTTATTTCCTATATCATGTCCACAGCCATCATACACTGCATGGCATTTTTTTTCTGATTAATTCGCTGATATTTTTCCTGATTATTCTTCTTATGAGACACAACATAGAACATAGCATACAATTTCCAAAAAATATGAGAGCCCATCTTCAGAAAAAAACCCTACCGGTAGAGTAAGCCAGAATTAGATACATAACATTAGAGGAGGCATCTAATCCCATTCAGGCACAACTCATGCTCAGGACACCAAAGTTCACAGGAGCAGACTCCCGATACATAACGCAGGAATTCGGTATCGCTCCCAATGATGTCCCCTCTGTCACCTCCTGCAGGAGGGTCCCACCCTGCCCTGGCACCAGTCCACTTTTGAGTCTGATACAGCAAACCCTGTGAGCAGTGCTGCCTGTGAAGGAGCTCAAGCAGCACTACCAGAAGAAATAATTCAAGGCATGCCCTCAGAAAGCTCAGTTGTTCATACTCCTCCAAGGCACCTCCGCAAAAATGAAACTTTCTTCTATATCTGGGTATCTCTGGAGGAAGGGCTGATACAACTGCCTACACATGGTCTCTCATGAGGATATCTCCGTGGGTGTGGGCTGACATAAAAGGTATCATTTATGCCTAAACTTGTGTCACCACATCAGCCAAATTAAATGTCAAGGGAAACTTATTTCGAGGAGTCAGGGAAACACTGTTTGCTGGGAAACCTAAGCATGCAAAGACAGACCTAAGTAATTGCACAAAGATTTGCCAGTATCAGATGGAATAATAAAGTTCCAGGCATGAGATCAGTGAAAGCTGAGATAATGAGACCTATCTTGTTACCATATTGTCTATAAATGAAAATAAAATTCAGTAAATAAAACTATATTCATAGGTGGCATTTAAAATCATCCTGAAGATTAACAGACAAGATATTTACAAAAGGCTTTTGAAAATATATTTCACAGGTAGTATGAAGTCTGGAAAGGCTTTCCTTATGAAAGACAGGAACAATTATCAAATCATCATATGCTTGTTTATTACCAGAAGTCTTCAAGTTTTGTAAATCCAACATGACAGCAGTTTTTAAAGCTACATTCAATGACCTATTCACTCTGTCTTCAGATTTCTACCAATTTATAAACTCTATCATGCAACAGCTGAAATAACAGACAATTCCTACATCTAATCTGACAGCATGAGTAATAAAGACAGAATTTTTTTTGCAGTTGCTGACTGCCTCATACCCATGCAGTGGTGAAAATTAACACGTTTTGACCTTTTCAGCCACTGCTATGGCCTAAAGCAAAGAAGACTGGTGACAAGAAACAGTTGGGGAGAGAAGAAAAGGAAGAAACAGAATCACCCACTTGCCCTGCTGGGAAGGTGCTGTGAGGGAATGGTTTCTGAGGCCACTCGCTGTCAGGTTTCTGAGTGTGTTTCTTTGCATGCTCAAATTAAGGCTTTATTTGTAGTTGGCTGCAGTTTGTCTCGTAGGCTTTCATGAGTACAATAGGTTTTCTTCAACCCAGCGAACATAATTAGGTATATTTTTATACGCTAACGTTTAGAAAGGCAATTACTATAATTGCGATGCAAGCCATCTCTAAATTCCTGAAAAACACTTCTAGCATACGCAAGATATATAAAATATGTCTTTGGTCTTTGTGGTTAGTCCTTTCTCTTCTGCTGCTAATAGTGAAGAGGAATACCTGTTTACAAACATTCCAGAATAAGCCAGGTACATGCAAAGAATATAGATGAGCCTTTGTTATCCATGTTCACTGTGTAGCAAAACCCCAGGCACTCTAACAGGAAAGACACAGGACTGATGAAGGGAAAAGCCCCCGGGTATAAAGATTAAACACAGGTTCTACAGCAAATACTCCCCAAGGGCAGCAGTTCTGCAGTTGGCCAATAAGGGCTGTGCAGTAAGGACCCAGGCAGCGATGGTCTGTAGCACTAGGAACTCAGGCTTCTGATGCTTCCCCACACCATGGTCAATCTACAGATCCAAGGAATCTGTGGCCAGATACTAGGAATTAAGTTTCTTGTACTGGGGACAGTTTTGTAGCCCTCAAAAGGTGCTTGGTTCAATACATGTTCTTTCTTTTTCCTTCTTTCTCCTCTAGTCACAATCTCAATCACAGTGTGATTTTTTACCATTTCTACTGCCTCCTTTTCCGCCTACCCCTAACTTTGAACAGAGAAGGTGACAAAGCAAAGCCTGCCTAACTTGCAAACTTGGGAGTAACACAGAACAATTAATTTCGGATATAGAAGTCCTAAGCCAAACATCAAGGTGACCTTTCCATGCATTTTTCAAAACCTTGTCTAATTATTTTATCAGATGCTCTTATTGTGACTATTGCCTGAGGTCTGCAAAACTCCTGTACTAGCTGTCAATACTTCTGCAATGGTTTCTCTTGGGGAATATATGCTGTAGCTTGACAACGTAAGCCAGCTTCTCTGTTTTCTTTTGACAATAAATAATTGATCACTGATGCTCTCAGTACAACTCTATTCTTCCTCTAAGCTGGCAGTGAACCACGTCCCTCATGAGCATTACTCACAAGGGCATGCCACTCCCGTGGTGCACTAATTCTCCTCTTTTCTCCAGAACAAGGAGGAGAGAAGCCCCTGACAGAAAGAGCCCATGAAGATTGTTGGGCCTTCTTTTAACTCATCAAATCAAAAGGAGATTGCAAAATCCAGACTTTTGCCCTTTGAGTTCATACTCTGGTCTTCACTGAACTGATGGGTAAAATCTCAGGTCATCTGCCTGCTGTTTGTGTCATCCAACAAAACATGCCAAATGTTCCTAGAGATTTTCACCCAAAAAAATCACCCTAGACTGATTATTACACTGATAGTTGTTTTTCATCCCAATCTTGTTACAAAGGGGAAAACAAACAGCACCCTTGCTTTTGCCCAAAAGTACGCGCTGAGTCCCCCAACAGACTCAGCCTAAAACTTCAGATACTGTCTTCTTCGTATGCGTACAAATTACCAAGTGTATTTCCTCTAAGCAAGCTCAATCAGAAAATTTCCATACATTTCAGGTCAATGCCACTTAACTGGCTATCACAAAAAGGATCTAACCTATGGCTGTTTATTACCAGATAAAAAATCTTTGTTTGAAGCTGGTGCTTTACTCTGGAACATCAAGTATCCTGACTATTGCTAAATGTCTGCCTTTGTCATTAACAGAATATAAACATTTGCTGTCATCAACAGCACCAGTAAGAGAACAGAACT